ATCCAGGATTATTTCAAGATCCTTAATTTAACCACACCTGTATAGACCCATTTTCCAAATAAGGCAACATTTACAGATTCCAGGGATTCAGGCCCAATATCTTTGGAGGGAACATTATTCTGCCTACCCCACCATGTAAACAATTTTCATGTAAGAGGGCAGTAAGATATGATAGATGCTTTTAAAAGATCTCTCTAGGTGAGTGCACTCTAGGAGACAAAGTGTAAGCAACAGATCCAGTGAGGAAGCTGTTGTCATAACCAGACAAGAGGTGACTAAGTCATGAGAAGTGAAATTACATATTATACATCTATTGTAGTCAAGATCAGCTAATGAGGAGACTGAGTTAGTTAAGAGGGAAAACTTAGGAGTCAGACTTCCAGTTCAAACCTAATTATACTTTTTGTCAGCTTTGTAACTTTGGGCAAGTTACTTAACTGAGTTGTTTCTTCCTATATCAAGTGACCATTATAGAACTGCCATGAGGATTCAGAAATAAAAATGTGTGAAATGTTTGACAGAGTACAGTGCATAGTAAGACCTCAATAAATACACACTATAGTTATTTTATCTTTGCCTGGCATTGTGTATTAATTTATGATACATATTTTGGTTACCAAGATATAAGTGAAAAAACAATGAAATGAATTTAATAACTCAACAAGTAGACTTTTTTTCTGTACTACATTATAAAGGAGTCACCTATGCTACATGGTGCAATTATATTATTACTATTTTAAATTTTATCAAGGACCACAGCATTTTAGAAATTTATCTTAACAATCAAATTCTTTCACTTCTAGATAACCAGAAGTTCAAGTCAAATATCAAAATCTAACATATAAGATTTCAATTTAACATATTGTGGAAAAATAATTAAAATTTAATAAAGACCACAGAAAAAAATTATTTCTTTTTCAAAAGATATCCTAGGGTTAAATCACATAACATAAATATATTATAACATTTATATATAAAAGTTTTTCCACATTTAGGGAATTTAAGTTGGAGGTCAAAATATTTCCTTTCTAGAGTTTTACTTATATTTAACCTTGAGATGACTGACTGACTGAATTGCACTATCATTCATTTTCCACTTTGGATACAATTTAGAAAGTAAACCGTGAAAATACTATGAATTAGCTCAATTCTAATCCTGTTTCTGCCATTTTATTTTTAACATTAAATTCTTTCATCTCTAAAACAGTGAAAATAGAAACATATTTTAAAAACCACTTTTTAGATAATACATTATTGTAAGGATGAAATGCAAATGCAATGAAACAAAAATATCATTGGTGAAATTTTATACTACTGTAGTGGATTGGATTATGTCCCCCCTAAACTTCCTTGAAGCTTGAATTGTGTTCCTCAAGTTTTATGTATTAGAAACTTAGCCCCCACCATGACTATTAAGAGGGTGGGAAATCCTATTACAGTAGTTGAAAGGTGGAGCCTTGAAGAGGTGATTAGATTGTAGAATGAATTAAAAACGGTGGTCAGGGGCAAGGTTCTGAGGGCTTTAAGAGAAGAGAGAGGAAACTGTCTCTCTCTCTCTCTGCCCTATCTCTGTTTTCTCTGCTTCCACCATCTTGCAATGTGAGACCACTGGGTCACTGTCGCCACCACCAGATGGACTTTGGACTTCCCAACCTCTGAAACTGTAAGCAATAAATTTCATTCTCTTTATAAATCACCCAGTTCCATGTATTCTGTTATAAGCAACACAGATTAATACAAATACATAAGGCCAGCAAAATCTCCAACGTCACCTATCTGATATTCTTTAAGGTAAAGACAAGGCAAAGAGTGAGCTCTAAAAGCTGCTTATATTACTGTTATAAATGTGGTAAGAATCTTCAGAATGATTAACTTTTTGCATAAAATAGTTATTATTCATATCTTTAAATTCTCTAAAAGTAAATCACTCATAGAAGACCAGTATTAGAAAGTACTCAAATTATTTTTCCTTATGGATTTAACAGACTGAACTAAGATACCGAAAATCAGCAAAACCATATATATGGACGTTCAAGCCAGAAATCTGGAAATCATCCCTCACTACCCAAATCTAATCCATTATGAAGTTCCATTCATTCTACTTCAATAAATGTATCTCAGATATGTCCAGGACTCTCTACTGTCCTAATTAGTTGTCCTAATCCAAGCCACCATTAAATAACACGAGGACCAATGCTGCAGCTTCCTAATTATACCACTCCAATCCACTCTCCATAACCAAAATGATCACTGTAAAATGTAAATGGCATTAAGTCATGCCCTACTTAAAGCCTTCAGTGGCTTTCCACTGTCCTAAGAATGAAAACTCTCACGTGCCCTATTACTGATCATTTGTCTAACCTCTTCTCAAGTCACACCCCAGCCCCATCCACTGGATGCCAACCACACTTGCCTCTCTCAGTTCCACCAAGCTCTTTCACCCTAGGGCTATAAGCTCCTCAAAGAGGCTTTCTTCGACCTCCCAATGCACACAGGTCTGCCCATCCCCCACCCCATTACTTTATTACTTTATCTCATTGTCTCCTGTTCTTTACACTTGGAGCCCTTATCACAATTTGCGGTTATACTGTTTTAGGGGTTTTTTTTTGGTGTACTTGTTTTTATGTCTGTTTTCCCCTCTGTACTGTAGCCTCCCAGAAGACGAGTTCCCTGTTTTGTTCACCTCTATTTTCCCAGTGCTTAGAACAGTGCCTGCTACACAGAAGTACCCTGTAAACATTTATAAATAAATGAGAACGCCATTATTACTAAATGCTCGCTTTTGGACACAAGATTGCTTTTCTAAAAAATTAAGAAATCACATCCATGGCAAAGGTGAATAAAGTGGCTACACAAGATTGTGTCATGGTTCTGTCACTGGAAAGTAACCACTTTCCAAGGCAAGAATTAAAGAAGGTGCTAACCAGGAAAACCAATAAGTCTTAATATTGGAATACAGTGCTTTTTTAAATGATTTGCACAAAAACATAGGTTTTGTAATTTGAAATGGGGTTGATTAAAGGTTTGGCTGCCTACATTGTATATTAAACTCTCTAAAAAGTCATTAACTATCGGAGTTTCCCCCATAAGTTCTTTCTCATTTGCTTCATTCTTCAGTATTTTTACAGAAAGTCAGAATCACACAGTACTCTGCTATACACGTTCTTTAATTGTCTTCTATATAGTCTTTAGGCCATCCTAATACAGAATCTAATCTGGGACTCTTCTTCCTTTTTCATATCTCTTTCAAACAGTACAGAACAAGATAAATGAGAATCCTAAATAAATGGTTGCTTCTTGATTAACTAAAGAAATGAAGGAAATGAAATCATTCAGCAATAAATAAAAGTTTTCTTAGTACATATTCATCAGTGTATACTTTGTCTCCATTTATTCAGTTAATCCTCTCTATCACAGATTAATTTTAATTACTTTAAAAGCTTATTAAAGTCATACATTCCATAACTCAGGTATACTTTATAGTTTAAGAACATACATTTGATTCTTTGTATAAATACACCATATATATATGAGTGTACATAATATTCTTTATACACTCCCATAAAATTAAGATTTCCTGGGAGTTACTACTTAATTATTACAAACCCATTATCAAATCAAAAGGATTTTAGCAAAATAATTAAGAGACATCTAAATGTCACTACTCTCTTTCATATTCTATTCTTGCATTATTAAACTTTGGACACCCAATATGCTCTCTGTGGACCAGATTTAGCCTGCTCTCAACACAGAGTTTGCGGCATGCTCACTATTTTTAGCTTTAAATTTGATTTGCTTATTTACATTAACTCCATAGCCACGAGAAGCTAAAAACACCTGTTCCTTTCTGCTACTGTTTAACTGGCACTTCCAGGTGTCCTGTTAACATGCTTAGGTCAGTTAATACCACTGAAGTTAAACACGAAAATAAACCTAGTCTGTGTAGGCTTAATTTCTTTGAAATAATGGCATGATTCTGGGAAAAACAGATATGAAAAAGCTTGATTCACTTTTGAATCATAAGCAGTGCCAAAATAAACATCATCTCAATTCACCATTGTAATCAGTAAAACAAATTCATATTGCCTGAATAGAAACGCAAGCATCTTGTGAAAATAAGACACATCCCTGATGGTAAATCATAACTAGAACCATGCTAGATAAGCCTAAAAATAAAACCCAAGGACACAGTAATAATTATGGTATTTTAAACACATATAAATTAAAAAGTATGAAAAAAGTTATAGGCAAACAGGTAGACAAAGCAAAATATACAAAATTCACTATTAACAAATATAATTTCCCTTAGTATGTAATCTCTCTGATTCCATTAGTCGGTAAGCTCCTGGAGCACACACAGACTATTGTCTGCTTTGTTAATTCAAGTTCTTATAAAGAACAGCACTTTGCACATAGGTGCAAATAATAATTATTAATTATTAAATATTTAATGTGATATATTAATCAATAAATATTAGGGGAAAGAAAGTGATATCAAATCAAACATTTTTGTTCATAGCAGGAAAACTAATTCTGAAGGAATTTAGGAAGCAATAAAATAAATATGAAACTAAAATTGTGATGGCCATAAATCAATCTTTATTTGAAGATTCTTCAGAAGTCAGCACAGGGTCATTATTAGGAATATCAGTTAAGTTATATTATTGATGTAGAAATATTATTAATATAGATTTAAGTCAACAGGATAGCAAATAACATACCTATGATTTTATAAAAATAATGAAGATTTTTTTGAGTTACTGAAAAGCTAACTTTATTAAAATGTCTCTACCGAAAAAATGACTAAAGAAATCATTTCAACTTAATTTCCCTAAACATTTCCATCATAATTCAAAATCTATATAATAATACTTCCTCCACTCAATTATTAGGTAAAAAATATCAGCCATACATAAAAGCTCCAAAAATTTTCCTAAACAACGACAACATGCTACTGAGAAAAAGATGGGAAATTCAAATCTTATTTCATAACAACTTACTCTAACTTTTGGCAAAACTCTCCGAAGTGTCTCAGCAGGATTCTGCCGCATCAAAAATGGAAGATTTGCGATCACACTTGTTCCTTGGATATCTTGACCAGCACTTAAAAAGAAAACACAAATTTAAAATTTATAATTATAAGCTGAATTCCTGGTTTACAATTATAAAAAGCATGGATTAATTTGAAAAATGACTACTTCAAATGATAAACACATTTCCAATAAAGGCTTAAATATAAAAATAAAACCAGAACTAAATTTTCATTAAGTAAATATTATAACAAATACATGAAGATATTAATTATGTTTGTACAAAACAATTGTCTACTTATATTCATGCCATTTGGGGGTGTGGGGCGGTGGCTGACTGGTAAGGGGATCCAAACCTTTGACCTTGGGGTTACAAGGCAGTACTCTAACCAACTGAGCCAACCAGCCAGCCCTATATACATGTCTTAAGTCTAAAAGTCTTGAGACTTTTACAAAATACTTACTTTAAATTTCTACCTCATGTTTTTTCTGTGACCTGCCAGTATGTTGTATTTATAAAAAAATATATAAATAGTAAAACTGTATTGTGGTAAAATATAAATAATCATAGTAACAGGAACAGCAATAAAATCAACTACAGCAAAATCATACAACAATTTTGTTTTGGTACAATGAAATTACTTGTTGCATTAGACTGGCTCCATGAGTTGCCAGAAACTTCTTAAAGATACACTCAGTACTCTTAAAGATAAGTAGAATATATTTATAAAATACCTTTTTGACATAACGCTCATTTAGGTTTTACTCAGATAATCTCAGTGATAATCCAGTGTCCCAAACACCACAGAAAAAGTGCTCAGATTCTTCTGAAAAATTGTTTCCATAAACTTCAAAAAATTCTTTATTTTTAAGATATAAACTAAGTGAAATAAGTTTTGCAGATACTTAAGATATATATCAAAAAGATACTAGTAAATGTGCCACTGCATCAGAGGGAAATTCTATCTATTCTTAACTGATATCAATTTAAATATTAATTGCTGATGACATATTTACTTATTTACTTAACTAAAATTGTTTGTACTTAGTTATTCAAATGTAACTATTTATACTTATTGTACATAAGACCTCAATATGTTTTAAAGAGTTTTTTAAAAGTAATATATTTTTGCTTCAGAGTTTTATAAAGTCTGTTAATAAGAGACATATTCTGATTCTAAATGAAGCTGCCCTGTTGTGAAAAAAGGCTTTTTTCTGTTGCAGTATGGTAGGCTATGAAATATAGGGCACTGTAATCATTCTACTATTTTCGCCACTAAGTGTATCCTTTTACTGACAAAATCCAGAAGGAAAAAAAAAGAGAAGGGTGTGCAATAGGCAACCCATGCCAAGATGGGCAGAGGATCAAAAAAAGAAAAATCAAAGTTGCATATATAAGTACTACCAGTAGTCAGTTGAATGGTGGCACCCTAAAGATATGTCCACGTCCTAATTAATCCTGGAACCTGTAAATGTCATCTTAATTTTTAAAAGGTTCTTGAGATGAAGAGATCATCCTGGATTATGCAAGTAGGCTCTAAATCCAATAACAAGTGACCTTAAAAGAGACACTCAGAAGTGAAGACAGACAAAATAAGGAGGAAGCAATTTAACCATGGACACAGAGATACGAGTGATGCAGCCACAAGTCATGGAATGCTGACAACCACCAGAAGGTGGAAGAGACAAAGAATGGATTCTCCCCTAGAGCCCTGTTGACAACTTGATTTTAGACTTCTGGTCTGCAGAATTGTGAGAAAATAAATGTCTGTTGTTTTAAGCCATCCAGTTTAAAAGAAAGAGAAAAGAATTATCTGAAAAAGCAATGTTTAATATGACAATGCCTGGCCCAGAGTGAAAGTTTAGTAAATATCTCTTGAAAGGATAAATGAATATATAACAAGCTGGATGAATGAATGTCAGTAATATTCAGTATTAAGCATTCAGTGAATTTTATTCACTAACTTACAATTAAGGGGGAAAACTATGACCTCTAATACCTTGTAGATGTGAATACTAAATATTTCACAGGGCAAAAAAAAAAAAAAAAGAGAGAAAACACAAAACATAAATAAAATGGCAGACTGTAGCCCTAAAATATCAACAGTTACATTAAAAACAAGTAGTCTAATTACAACAATTAAAAGGCAGGGATTAGCAGGATGGATTAAAATCCATGCCTAACTACATGCAATCTACAAGAAACCCACCTCAAATATAACAATATTAGCAGGTTGAAAGTAAAGGATGGAAAATTATATATCATGGAAACGTGAATCAAAAGATGCAGGAGTAGCTATATTAATATCAGTTAAAGCAAACCTCAGAGAAAAAAATCACAAATAGGGATATTACATAATAATAAAAGAGACAATACACCAAGAGACATAGCAATCCTAAATGTCTATACACAAAACAGGATTGCAAAATATGTGAAGCAAAAACTGATAGAACTGAGAGAAAAAAATAGGCAAATACACAGATACAGGTGGAGATTTCAATACTCATCTCTCAACAACTAGTAGAACAACTGTAGAGAAAGTCAGAAAGGATGTAGCAGGGGAGGGAACTTCCTAAATCATTTGATGAAGCTAATAATACCCCAATATCAAAACCAGGCAAAGATTAAAAAATAAATAAACAAAACTGTGGAGCAATATCCCTCATGAATACAGATGCAAAAATCCTTAATAAAATATTAGCAAATGAGACACAGTAATATATAGAAAGAAAAATTATAAATCATGACAAAATGGGGTTTATTCGAGGGATGCAAAGCTAGTTCAATATTAAAAATCAGTGTAATCCATTACAGTAACTGACTACAGAAAAAGAGAATCACATGATCATATCAATGCAGGAAAAAAACTGACAAAAATCAACATATGAACACTGAAATTACAAATTCAAGATCATTTATAATCACTCAAAAAAAAAATCCTAACAACATGTGGACAGGACTTGTATGCTTAAAATTACATAATGTTGATGAAAGAAATCAAAGGAGATCTACACAACTAGAGAGACATGCTACACTTGTGCACTGGGAAATTCAGCATGGTAAACATGTCAATTCTCCCCAAATTGGTATACAGGTTTTACAAATTCCTATAAAAATCCTATTAAGACTTTTGGGAGACATAGATAATATTTTTCTAAAATTTATATGGAAAAGCAAACAAACGAGAATAGCTAAAAACAATTTTGAAAAGAAAAATAAAGTGGGAGAAATCTATCCACCCAATTTTATAGTTATCATAACCAAGACTACATAGTATTGATGCAGGGACAGACACATAAATCAATAGAACATAAGAAAAAACCCAGAAATAGACCTCCACAAATATGCTCTACTAATTTTTGGCAATGGTGCAAAGGCAATTCAATGGAGAAAAGACAGCCTATTCAACAAATGGTGCTGGAACAACTAGACATCCATAGACAAAAAAAGAAAAAAAGATGAACCTTGATCTAAGCCTCACACTAACTCAGATTTAAATGTAAAACATAAAACTATAATACTTTTAGGAAAAACATAAGAGAATATCTTCTAGATCTAGAGCTAGTTAAAGAGTTCTTAAACTTAACACCAAAAGAATGATCCTTAAAAGGAAATTCAATAAACTGAATTTGTCAAATTCTCTTTGACAAATAACCAGTATCTAAAATATATAAAGAACTCTCAAAATTCAATTGAAATAAAACACACAATCCAATTAGAAAATGGGCAAAATACATGAGAAGACATTTCACTGAAGATGATATATAGATTACAAATAAACATATTAAAAGATGCTCAATAACATTAACCATTAGGCAAATACAAAGTAAAACCATAATGAGATATCACTACATAATTATCAGAATGGCTAAAATAAAGATAATGACAACAACAAAAGCAAAGAAATTGAATCACTCATTCACTGCTGTTGGGAATGTAAACTGACACAGCCACCCTGGAAAACAGTTTGGTAGTTTCTTTAAAAACCAAGCATGCAACACCGTACAACCCAGAAAGTGCACCATTAGGCATTTATCCCAAAGAAATAAAAACTATGTCCGCACAAAACCTGTGAATGAATGTTTATAGCACCGTTACTATATTTGTTTATTACAACCTTATTGTAGCAGATTGAATTATGTCCCCCCCAAAACTCACTGAAGCTTGAATTGTGAAGCTTGAATTGTGTCCCCCAAGTTTTATGTATTAGAAACATACGCTCCACTATGACTGATAAGAGGGTGTGAAATCCTATTATGATAATTGAAAGGTGGAGCCTTGAAGAGGTGATTGGGTTGTAGGACCATGCAGTAGTGAATGGATTAAAAATGGTGGTCAGGAGCATGGTTCTGAGGGCTTTAAAAGAAGAGAGTCTGTCTCTCTCTCTCTCTTGTTTCTTCTTATCATGTGATCTGCTTGTGCCTGCTGGCTGCCTGCCGCTTTCCACCATGAGTAGAAGCAGCCTGAGGCCCACCCAAGATGCAGCTGTCCCAGAATCGTGAGCCAAATAAACCTCTTTTCTTGAGACTTCTGGTCAAGACAGCGGAATAGACAGTTCCCAAAGTAACTCTCCCCAACAAATCAACCAAATTTGCAACTATAAAAATGTAACATCAACCAAGCTGGGGCCACTGGAGCTCCGGGGAAGAGGAGAAGAGACCTACAATGTTCATGAAGGTGGGAGAAACTACAATGAGAGAAAGAAAAAGCTGCTCTGAGCATTTCGGGCCACGGCTGCTTTAAGGCTCGAGCTGATAAGCACATGGAGCAGGAGCTGGTGGAAGCTGCAGCTGTGCCCTTGAGATGGAGTTACTTGGAGGCAGCAGGAGAGAAGAGGACCTTGGCGGCCTCCAGGACAGCAAGACCACTAATAGGTTTGCCATGGACCCACTCAGGAGGGAGGAGCCAGAACAACTGAAAAAAGGGAGCCATTCAGAGGCCGGTGAGTCATTGCAAAGGACCAGCACAGGGCCCATCCCATGGGAAGTGTTTGGAGCATGGGCGGTAGGCAAGATGGGAACACCAGGAGAACACTGGGACACAGCAAGGACAGCCGACCTGCCCCCCAATCA